GAGTTCCTAGAGCAGTCTCAAAGTGACTACTCCAGGACAGTCTGGCAGGGGGCTGAGTCATTGTTGTAGTACCTGATTTATGAGGTGGAAGCTTTACCGCCACTGTGTTTGCCGTTGAAATTACAGATGTGGATAATATGCAACTGCCAAAAGGTTGCAGGAAGCTTCTGCGCCCGTTGGATGGCAGGACAGCGGCGATGAACTTGCTCAAACCAAGTAGTTGAAGTTATTTACGTGCATCAGCCGAGACGCAAACTATTCACTGTCACTGAACAGTGCGCATAAGAATATCTGCACAAAAAGCAAGACTATGCATCACGGCCTCGTCAATTCGGCACAACCTGATGATCACCTGGATGACAGGATTTCCGACTAGACGTACTTACACTATACCAACTGATGAGTGATTTCCTACGGTGTGACGGCATTGATTTTTGGGATTTTGAGTATATCTTTGTAGGTATTTTGACATCTCTGGACTTTGTGTATCCATATCGGGTTGTTTCGTGTCGACAACAGCGTCTTTAAATGGCTATACAAAGTATGTAGTCAATATTCTCAGAGAAGTCGCCCCATCGCTCGTGGCAGAAACGTCAAGTCTTTATCCTGCTAAGCGTTGAATCGATCAAAAATCGTGCAAAAACCTGCAGGAAACGCTGTCTCTTTCCTCAAGTCTTCCTACTTCCAAAGCCCGGATAGAACGATGACCAGTGCACCGGTAATGAATTTCTACTGGTTATTTTGGCCATTAATACTTCTCTTGTTCCAATCGTTACCTTTCTCGAATCGAGGCCAAAATTGTGGACGTGATCACTCAATCCACCAAGGCTAATGGGCGAACCGCTTAAGCCACAGATACGCGGTACCGGTTTGTACGAAAGCGACTCTTAAAAAAGTTACAAGGAGTACCGGATTACCTAAAATTAGTCCTTGTGTCAACCTACAACCTGACCGCTGCGAGCCACGTCTTGATAAACAAGTCCTCCTACCTTGTGAAAGTAGATATCGTATCGATCTATATGATTAGTAGTGATTGTAGTAAGATATAACTAGGGTCACTTTCGTATTCTCTTTTATACAAATGCGCGCTCAATCTCCAGGGATGCTACAGCGAAAGCATTCAAGGTCTCGAAGGAATGTCGCAATATCCACTGTTAGGCAGTTGTCGGCCTGACGACGCGATTTCTCAAGACATGTGCACCCCGACGCTGATATAAGAGCTGCCCACGCGGAGAATCAAGCGTTAAGCCGCGCAAAGAAAGAAACAAGAAGGTTGAAGAAAAACCCTTGCAATGCGTCCTTGTCGAATGAGCTATGCGGAGTCAACGCGTGAGAAATTATTGACTTGTTGCACATACTGCTCAGAATATGGCGACATACTGGTAAAGCGGTTTCTTTAGTTATGTGTATACTACGCTCCCAACCAAGACGCGGGATATGCATTAAACACTATGTCAGATGTCTCATTCCTGACTGCAACCGATAGTTTGTGCGCCACCCACATCATAGACTATGCGTGCATACCTAACAACCCTGTTGCTCCAGTTACAACCCATGAAGACGATGGGGATCTATTTCCTCCCCGTTTTCTGGATGATTTTCGTGGTGGAAGATTGTGATTGTCTCGTCGATCCATACGATACAATCTTCAGGCCGCATCATCAGGCAGATCATCCACGGAATCTGCGTCGACGTCTATTTGACGTCAGGCATAGCCAAATGTGGCATGAGGTGGTCTTCGCAAAGTATATAATATTTAAGGTCTCATCTCTTTGTGCATAATAATTCAGTATGGCTACTCAACTGGATACAATTGTCGTTCAAGCGATTGTCGATTATTCTTTGTGCAATACAGAACATCTCGTGCAGGCTTTGACGGCAGCCGGTGCAGAAGAAGACAACCATGATGGTAATCGAAGACTGGCTCATCTTGGAAGCACTTTGCTCCGATTTATTTTGAGCCTTCTTGTGTTTAAGACTGCACCAATGCGGTACATTCGTGATGTGGATATCGAAACCCCCACAACAGGTAAAGCGCATGTCTTGCAACCATCTTTCCTGTTTGTAGCAGACGTTTCACGAGGAGACCACATTGACTACTCCTTATCCATTTGGACCTAAATCTGACACTGCCTAAATAGCTATCGTGTATCATTGATACGCCTGAGAAGGGACTGGAGTAGGTATACAAGGAAGTCGGGTCGTAATTTGAGCGCTTATCAAAATTTGGTACGGCTGGCTTGGTTTTTGGCTTCGAGCGTGGTGGAGTTATTGCTTCTGACATACAATTTATAAAGACTCGAGTTCCCACAAAGATTGACAAAATTGACCGATCTGCTATTGGAAATACCATCTGGCAAGATATCTATCTGTCTGTATGGTGGTCTCTGCGAATGGCGTGGCCACGATTTTCTGCATGTCTCACAGCTGGCCCTTCTTGGCTTCGATGAAGACAAGATCGATGTCTATTCCGATCTGTATATATTTCTACATAGTATCCAGGGAATAGATGACAGTCCAATAGCTCGGGCATCATTGCATTCATCATCATCCAGCAAATGAAATCATATATACAGACCCACTAGCATCCCGCCTGGTACCCTCGGTAATTTGGAGTTCCGAGAACATCGGGTTGACAGCCAGCCCACTCGTTCGATCGAGCACTAGAGGTCTGAGGCCTGGAGTATACCCCTACTGTGAGATGCCGCATCATGCCAGCGGCTAACTCTCCATCAGGACGATCGAGGCTAATTAATATGCGGTGCGAAACCCCCCCCCCCCCCCCTCCCGGACGATACACAGCGAAATTGTGTGAGCGCGTGTGCCAACTACGGCTCGAGCGAGTCATTTACCAGTCAGCACCAAAAAAGACCAGGGAAAGCGATAAGAACCAAGAATGATCCTGGTCACAGAGCATGGACAACGTCGGACTACCGACCAGAACTCTGACCAGACTAGCCTCTATCTCAATATTGCAATAAAAAATAGCGAGAAGAACAACAGTCTAGCCAAGCACTCAAAATCCACTCAACGTGAGTAGAGGCCCCTAAGAACCTTCGATACGTATAGACCCCGACGCGGGTGCCATCAAGACCGCTTTGGATTTAAAAAAGTGGACTCGCGCGGTTACTTTCAGCTTCCCCACACCTACTTCTGTGGCGCTCACAAAATTCGCCTCCCAAAAGCATTCCAAGCTGAGACGCGTCAACGAGCTATCACGATACTAGTTAACGATAGAAGTGCTACCAGTGGCCTACGTATCGTGCTCGCATTCAACCACTTCCAGTCTTTGCAAAGAGTATCTGTAAGGAATACTTAGAAATTTGTTTAGTCTACCGGAGTTGCTCGGTTCCAACTCTGTCCAGCCGCTTGTAGCGCGATACCCCAATGTTATGCGAGAGTCTTCCAGTCATAAAACATCTGTATAGGGCTCGTCAGATACGGACAATACGCAGCACAAAGAGGAAGATACGGTCGGCCTTCACTCACCGCCGTCGGCAGCAATTCTTAGAAAATCCGTGACGTATAAATACTTACGCTAAAGTCATCTATTAGAGGAGTCACTCATACACGTTATCACCAAATGATCGTTAAACATCCAGTCTGGTTACCGGAACTTTCTTGCCCCTCCCCTGGCCGACGTTTTTATGGAAGCAAGCTCTCCTTTTAAAAAATGGATGAACATCTAACACATAGCATTTCTCTCTCTCAAGCAGGTCATCCACTTCAGCTAAACCTTGTCCCTCAAGACAAGGGAACAAGATAATTTTAAGGAAGCTCAACGGCACGATAGAGAAGCCTGAAATATCGCAGGATTGCGGTGGTTCACCAGAAGGATTAGTGCGTAAGTCACCAAATCAAGATCCGAATATATACACATTTCCCCATCGATAGTAGTGCGAATCACGATCTTACCGACATGATATTGACCTTGCTTGAATCTGAGATAGCCCGTTTCTTTGGAGAGCTCCAAGTCTGCTCACGAATCTGGTGGTTCTTTAATACACCTACGACCTCTTGATCGGTAGAAAAACTCTATCAAATTTGTTCGAGAGTCTCTTAGTACCACAGTCTGACACTTGTAGGAATTTGGGGCCGTGCGTGCAGCTCGCAAAGGAACGAACCCGGTTTCATGTATCTGACTATGTACCAGTAGCACAGTTGAAATGACTTGAATATGGCCTGTGAAGAAATTTCATGAACTTCCTGCGTATGATCGTAGTATATTCTGTAGAGAAATAGAAGGATAGACGTAACAAGATTACCTAGACCGGAATAGATTGTTCCTCCGCACCTAAGTCTTCGCGTTCTCCAGAGGCGTGTTTGTTTACGCAGGATTGGCACGTTCCGCCCTGCCCCTTACACGTCAGTATCGCCACGGGTCTGTTCGCCACACGAGATCAAGCTTCACCACAGCGACAGAGGTTCTCCAGATAGGTCTGCGTGATACAGTCTGGAGCCTTCCTTCCTAGCTTAGTTATAGCGCCTATAGATTTCCCTCTGCAGTAGGAAATAAAAATCCCTTCTCTCTCTTCAGCTCCCTTCCTAGCTTGCCATCAGATCTTTATTAACGGCACCCTATCCAAAATGCTTAACTTACCGCGGATGAGTGATTTCTGTTAGATAGAAGCAGAGAAGTGTCAACAAAGGCCTCACAACCATAGAGATACAGAAGAGGTATTAGAAATATTAGTACAGGGGGTTTCCAACTACTAGAAATCATAGGAGGAAGCACTTGACAAAAGGTAAAGCTTGATTCTGGATGCCAGAAGCGGGAACACTTATATTTCTAGTTGCACACGCATAGCTACTACTTGAGAAGCTCGCGCTCTTCGCCGCGCTTGGTATATTGCCAAGAATCCATGATAACGAGCGGAGTCCCAGGGTCTGCTTCGCGGTATACTTTCCAGCATGTTATGGCTCAGCCAGCGATACAAGGTTCTTCTTGAAGAACGAGACGCTAGGTCTGACCAGATTTCTCAATTTCAACCACTCACCAGCTATCCTTCGTGGTTATGATAGGGTCGAATCCACATTACTCCTCGCTCATCCACAGACCCCTGAACGTTGGACACAAATAGAAGCCCGCCCTTGTTTATGTCAAAGCGTTCTGATACGACACCCCCGAGACGGTCAAACGCCGATATTCGCATAAAGGATCCACATATTGTAAAACCCAGGGAAAAGTGACGGCTATCTTGGGCCGCAAGGACTTCCCTAGCGTAACTCGCCAGATCCAGCCATGCTTTGGAAGTAGTATCGGCTGCTGGATAACTCTTCAATACTCCAGGTTCGGTAATCTCTGGCCACTGATACAAGGTGTTTTTCTTCGCATTCAAATCACTCACGAACCCAATGTCTAGCTTGGGCTCAGCCGTGGAACTCTGAATGGGCCGGTTGGGCTCTACTGGCGGTCTTCGCGGAAGTGGCGTCGATAAAGGTTGGTGCTCTGCTGAGAACGTCGCCAATTTATTGCTCATGTCTGCAGACAAGTTCAAGACCTCTTCTTGGTTCGCCATTTTTGGCTATGCTTTGCATCCATCAACAAATAGTGTATTGCTGCTCTCTCTACATTTTTGAAATTTGCTATCTTTGCTGTGAACGAGCTTGAGAGGCAGACAGCACGGACTCCACGGCGGACTGCAGATGAGGTAGGCAAGTCCTTTAAGCCATTCAAGACTGTAACACCTCCTTTTAATCATAAAGGTAGGTTTGAACTTACTGGCACGTAAAAACCCCTTTATTTCGTGGAGTTCAAGTGTAGAAGTGATATCTCCGCTATTCATCATATTTCAGTGTATTACGAAACCGGAATAAATGTGATGGTCATCCGGAGGGTCTTTTGTAAAGGCTCTGTCTCACCGAGTGCGTAGGTACGACCTAGAATCCCGTAGTGAGGGAAGCCCATATGAACTCTGTAACAGTTTCGTATATGAAAAGCTGGTGACGCGTGTGCGTCCTTGCGGTTGAAGATATCGTTCAGAGGGCTCGCATATATGACATGAAGCATTTTCAGAGTATATTCCAACTGATCGGTCGAAAGGTGGGTCTTTGTAGCTTGTGCCTGTACTTGAATGGATCGTTTTGATTGCTTTGGAAGTACAGGTAAATATCGCAAGGCAGAAAAGTAAGCCTTAGAGTCTAATAGCTTTTATCATGTTGTCTCCTTGGCTCATCTAAATATTCATGCCAAATTTTGACGGAGGACATCGTGGTGAGTGAGTCGTGTCCCACGGCCTTATTGGCTCACTACCTTCAAAATTCAATCACACTGATTTTGTCACCTAGTTCCAGCCCTTGTAACTAATGCTGCGGTCATATTATCAATACTGACGTAGCCAATCTACGTGGATTCTAGTTGCAGCGTCCGGATAGCTCGTTCTGTGATGGCAAGAGCAGATTCCTCTACATCCGAACAAGTCAACAATTGTCCATCCACGATCAGTCCCAAATGGGTCCTTCGGATGTCTCGGCCGTCTTTCCGAATTTGAGACAGCAAAAACTTGATGAACCTCAGAGGGCTCCGAGGGAACGTTCCGTTCGGATTCATGTGGATGAAACCGTCTGCCGCAACCGACAAACTGGCTGGTGTTGGGGTTGACGCCACGCCCAAGAAAGCACAAAGCTCCTGGTAATCCCTGTAAGACTCAAGATATAGCTGGCCTGCAAAGAGATTGAGTTGCATCCTGAGAAGGCCGGGAATAGGCCCAACATTGAGGACCGTAGGGGTGGTATAGAGCGTAAGTCTGTCGAGAGGTGCGAAATCCCGATTGTAGCGAGGAGCATACACGTGAAGTGCAACGGCTTTTGATTTCTCAATCGCTGGCATCAAGAAATTTGCCTCGTATGGGCTGATGATCATGATTTCCATCAGACTATTCGCCTTCCGTGAAACAGAAGGAGCAGTGGACAAAATGAAGCGCACAGATCGTTGGTAAGCATCGGAAACAAATGGAGATCCCTTTGGATATTGAACAGTATTGATAAAGTCAGCAGTTGCCAACAGATTCGAATGAAATCGATCCAAGTCTATCTGTGACGCGGCAGATAGATTATGTAAACTGCTGAAGGCGGGTTGGTAGGCGTTAGAAGATTGCCGAATCATACCTGATTCGATGTATGAGACCACATCATCGTCGATACGGTGTGCGGCAGGCTGGGCCGCGGGAGGGCGCTGATCTTCGCGTTCGCTCTCAATTTCCGGTGCAAGCTCGCGCTCTTGTTCCTCATCGAGGGATGCGGAAGGAGCTAGGCCTTCAAATTCACTACAACGCTCGTGAATGGCCTCAAAAACCTCGATATCTTCATCCACTGTTCGCAAGGTGTTGTGAGGTGGTCTGTACCTCTGCTCGAGGGTCTGACATTCTGGTTCGAGAAATGTTTCCGCCTGTTCCGGGGCCAAACTAACGCCTTCGTGCATTCGGTAGTCCTGCCATCTGATCTTTTGCTTCTCAAAGCGGCAGCCTTGAACGGCCCAGAGTGGCATACTGCGTCGCATGTCTTGCCACGTTTCTAAGATCGCCCATTGCACAACATCAGACACGCCAATGTTAGAAATAATGTCGCGGCTCTTTAAGGACAAGATTTGTCGCTTGATCTCGCCAGGAATGCAAAAAATGACCGATTGTCCATGGCCAAGTTTTCTCATTCTCATACAGGCTATGAAAAGTTAGGGTTTACACCTCTTCACAATTACACAAAAGGGAAGAATTTCGAACCTTGAACTAGCTTGTCCTTGGTGATGCCCGGGCCCAGGGTCACCGCTGCACGATAATCCACCGGCAGCTTGAGATCGATGCCTCGCGTATGTGCCTCATCCAAGAAGACCAAACAGGCTTCCATTTGGAACGCGAACGGTGAGGTCTGTAGAAGCTCCACTCGACCCTCAGTGTCCACGACGCAAATATTGTCCTCATCATTGACAAAAATCGCGCCTCGGATCTGGTCATTCTGAGCAATGGATAGCCATTGCCGTGCTACCTCAAAGTTGTTAAGCTCCAAGATTTGCGCACCCACGTCGAGAATTACTTTTGTAAGCGGGTTCAGCTTCGCCACCAATTCCAATAATATAGAAACATCCGATTGACCTGATCGATGATATGTGGGGATATCCACCACGGAGTTTTCCCGCCTTAATAGGTATTCCAGTATCAGGGCATTTGTATGATTTTGCTCGGGAAGGTCGAGCTGTTTGACGGTCAGTGGCAGGGTTTTTCGTGAGTCATTGGTTCCACTGAAACCGACGGTGGGGTTTGTTCTGAGTTCCCCTGTATCCCAGCCTGAGGCGGACAACTTGTCGGCAAACTCTTTTATCTCTTTTGGAAACACTATTTGAGCGAGGAAATAGTCCACTACGGTTTTCGAGAACCGAAGTGCAGGGAATATTCGGCTCGTGCAAAGATGCTCATCGTCCAAATTGACACTGACTAATTGTCGGAAGCCTGTTTCGAGCATTGGTGCACCCTGTGCCCAGGCTTGGTACTCTGCTTCCGCCTCATCAGATTTTGCCAGATGATTGAAGGCGAGGAGGATCTCGCTGTTGGTGAGTCCACTGTAGTAATACTGAAGGCAGGTAAGGAGGATGACGACATCGGGATGACTGAACTCCGAGCGCAGTGAAGGGCAGTCTTTGGCGCGATACGGTACCGCAAGCCGCGTCGATGGGTCCCGGCGTGAATCGGGCCCGTAGTTGACACGCCAACGCTTTCGCCCCAGACAAAATGCTAACACTCCGCCTGCAAGCAGGCCTCGTAAAAGCAGGAGGTGACTCTGCATGCTTTTATCCCAAAAGCCTGCTTGAGTACTAGACTCCACTGCGAATATCTCATCAGCGGTTGGTTCAGGTTTCAGGATATAGATCAAAAATGCCTGTCGGACCACGCGAGGCTGTCGGGCAATGGGCAGGGGACCAATCCCGTATTCACAGATATGAGTCGCAACTCGTTGGAGTAGTGCATGTTCAGCATCGCAGTCCAACACACGAATGCGTGGGAAACCCCTATTTTCAGGCTGAATGAACTCAATGGAGTCTGGTAACTCAGCCTTCACTTCACAGGCGTATAATTCTACCAAATACAACAGTTCCTGGATGAGAACCCATCGCTGCGGGCTGAGCTCAACGGGGCGCTGAGTGCCCATAGAATATATCAATTCAGACTTGGCGTTGAAAGTTTCATCACTCTCATCGATGATGTCACAGGCATACTCGCGAAAGAGGTTCAGGGTTTGGAGTAGCGTGCGCCCTAGCGCGGGTTTCCCTATAATGAAGCATTCAAGACACATGAGCTTCAAGGACAGGATATGCTCCGGTTGCACAAGCAAGACACCGCCAATTGACATGCACTCGTAACACATGCGCTGAATTTCCTCCACTTCAACCTCCCCGAGACTCAATGACCGCGAGAATGGAAGCTGATAAACTCGACGATCTAGGAGGCCGCCCAACTTCCCAACCAGCATTTGATACATCTGTCGCGATTGGGGCTTTGGAGTCAGAACTCTGGCAATGCATCGGCCATTAGCATGCGCTGCGGCAACAATAGGCACTACCACCGATGATTTTCCGTCCCCCATGTTCAATTGCAGCACGATATTTTGTCCTCGGGTGGACCAAGTCATTGCCATGGCAATCGTCTCCTGGTTTGGCCGAATCAAAATACCGCTTTCGATCTCTAAAAGAAGATTCTCGGGCTTTTGAAATGGATCCCAATTGATATGACCTGAATTGCGGATCTCTTTGAGAAAATCCTCGGGACTAAGGACCAAGCGGCAAAGTCGCTGCGCTTGCTGGAGCTTTGTGATGGAAAGACCGTAGAGTATGAACCAGCTTCGCCACGGGGTGGCTAATTGTGACCAACGATGCCGGCTCAGCTGCTCCAACAGGAGAATGGGTGACAATCTTGGGGTGTGGTGAGCCCTGAAAGCCAGAGCAGAAATCTTCTCTTTGAAGGTGCTCGATGTCCGTGACTCGTCTGTTGAACTAGGCGGCAGCAGCCTCGATATGAGAGTTGTGTAAACATACCGATTATACCTCTCGCACATATTGAGGTAGGCGCCGACGGACCGTTCAAGATCGCCACAGTTGATTGTGAACTGAGTCTGATTCTTGGTGCAAGATAGCGATTTGACACTATCTCGCAACATCTCCACGTACCTTTTCTCATACGGAGAACTGGCGTAGCTGCCCATCGAGTCAATAAGACTCAATAGATTCCCGCTTGGGGGACTTTTCTTTGAGTCTTCCCGGAGAAAGTCCGGCAACAGAGGCTCCTTAATGTTGGGGAGTGGACACATCGCCATCAAATCATCAAAAGAGACATATCCTCGCCGTGGTTGAGCCGGCTCTGGACAGGACGTTTCCGGATAGGGCGGCGGCTGGATGTCTTGAACTGGATGTACACATAGCTGATTTATCATGCTGGCCAGGCATTGCCGAAGCTGACCATTATCAACCCAAATAGAGAACCTGTCTGTCACCAAAGTTATGATTCTGGGAATATCCAGGTACTCATCCAAGTCGACAGCTTCTTGTGCGGCGGGACATGACGGCGAGTGTGTAGGCCACTGACGGTAAAAATAATCCGCCGCAGTTTTGCAGGCGAGCTTCCGTTTTATTATTCGGAGCTCTCTAATGCGTGACTCAAAATTGCCATGGGTCTCGTAGGGAAAAGGTTCAAGCCTATCTTCCGGTGTTGAATGAAGCTGTGCAGCTTCTATGAGAGTCTGAATTGTCCCGCGATCCCACTCACAACCTTCCCCGGGTTGATATTTTCCTCGGATGGTCGTATACTCGCAAATGACTTCTGGGTTCAAGTACAGAGATGCAATAGTCTCGACGACAATCATATCGGTCTGGGCCGAGTAGGCGACGGTTGACAGCCAGATTAGAAGTTGATACTTGTTGAATCGACGATTGCGTGATGAAACCAATTGTTGTATTGCACACCAATTCTCAGCGATAAAGCCTTGCGAGGTAAGTATCCACTCTGCGCTATATCGCAACCTTGCGATCTCTATCTGGGTTCCAGGACCACGTATTTCAAACGAGGTAGTCAGAAATTTCCAGACGTGGGAGAGCCATTCCCCGGATTCAATGTTTCGCGCACGAGATATCTTGCAGCATAGCATCTTGCTAATCGTGAACGCTCGAGTGCTGTTTGGCGAACAGCGATTGGCGTCCCGGCTTGCGTAATGGCGGTCATGCTTGCCTGTGTGGTCTTCTGAGCCGAATTGAGAAACGCGGAACGACGCAGTACGAATTTTCTCACGAAGTAACAAGTGTTGGTTCACGCTTGGAAGAGAAGGCGTGGCAGGTTCTTCGCCCGGGTAGTAAAACATGACACGTGAGTTTTGATCCTGGATGGCTGCTACCTCTTCGTAAAACCCTGGATGTTGTGACAAGCAGCTGAGAGCGTGCCTCCACTCTACACTTTGCATCACCTGCTCATTATCTGGATAAAATCTTCTCTGCGGGGTCAAGGTAGCAATTCTGGTGAGAATGGCGACGTTCTCCGGTCGGAGTCGATCGAATGATCGAACGGACGCGGAACGAAGAATGGAAAGTGCCTGCTCGGTGCCCGTACGCCTGGTCAGTGGATCGGGAAGGAAATACGAAGTGATGGCGTGCAAATAAGCCAAAAAGAGCTTGCTCTGTAGGCTTCCATTATCCACAAAACGCCCAAGTCGCTCATCAATGGAATATGCATGCCATTGCGCCTCGCATAGCACGTTGACCTGAACATGATCGCCGGCCTGTGACCAAGCAACATCGCCTTCAGGAATGAGAATGATGCGTTGGAAAGAATCGGTATTGACGAGGATCAATTTACTGTACAACCCGACTAGCGCATTGCACGCTTGTTTTGCATCAATAGTCATTCCCGGATACTGTCGACACTGAACTGCCGTGGAGCGCTCAGGGAGGACAAATTCCAGTCTCAAACGCGGAAGATTTATATATAACGTGAATTTGACCTTATCGAGCCGGCAATGAATCCCGGAAAGCTTCTCCAAGGGATTCAGAATCCTAGCTAAGGTATCCGCGGTCTTGCTTCTGCTGCCGACCAGGTGATATTCCCGGTTCTCTAGACGCCATGAATTCTCCGAGTCCCCTTTGCGCAATCTCCAATGCTGCTCAGATGATATCCACGGGGATGATAGGGGCCTGAATTCAATGTACCCCCTATCGATGGCGTACCAGTGAGCGTGATTGTGAATGAAATCGTCGGGAAAGTATCCAAGGAAGAGTCTCTTTGGCACGAGAACCCATGCTTGGCCATCTCTCACCGCTTTGACGGCCAGGTGGGATCTTGTTGATCCGGGACTAGGGGTCATGCCCAAATGTATAGTATGACCGCAGTATTTCGCTCGGCACGAAAATTGCATTCCGGGCTGGTCACTTGGCATCACCTCCAACTGCGATCTTTCTCCGAAGAGGATGCGATATATTTGATTTGACATATATTCAGCCGGCAGATGCGCAAGTGGAAGTCCATTGACAAGAAGTTCTCCCGTGAGCAAGTTATAGTGTACCTGTTGTGTTCGGACACGTTCTCCAGTGGACTCTGAACATAAGGCGTGAAGCCAATATGACACAGATGGAGAAACTTCTGACCATATAGAACCAGCTGGATATGCCGCCCACGCCTCGGAAATGGCACTGTCGATCGGGGAAAAGGAGGTAACGGAACAAGCCGCGGCTAGTACTGCACGGCTGTGATAGCATAACACTTGCCAGCGATAGTACAGTATGCGCTGCAGGGAGCCGACTCCCAGGGGCAAACAGTCACGTCCATTCCAAATAATCATGCAGCACCGCAGAAATAGTGACACATCTGACGACAGATCAAAGCTCTGTAGATCGGTTTCGGTGTCAAATGTTTGGACACACACCAGAGCGATATGGACAGCTTTGGCAATCACCTCAACCTTTCGCGCGTCGTCAATCTCTCCACTAGCCGCTGCTCTGACACTTTCGACCCACTGGAAAGAATTTTGGCGCATTAGACGTAACAGATCGAGACATTTTCGATGGTCCTTTTCACAAGGTGAAAGACTGAGAATTCGAAGTAGGAGATTTATCAGCGTGTGGTATCCATGGACCAGGTTCCAGTTTCCTTTCATCCTTTCCGCCATCTTGCTGATAGAGGACAGCAATCTCGCCGTGAATTTCGGTTTACGTAAGATCGCGTGACCGCATCTCATCCACGTATCGGTCCGGGGCAGACCCGCTTGGTGGACAATCTGACGGAAGAATAATGCCGACTCCACTTTTTTCATGTCAATCAAAGGCATTGACAATTCTAAAAGAATGTTCTGCCATTGAATTTCCAGGCCAAGTGGCATTGCTGCGAGTGCTTTGTACTCCGCAAGCGACATTTCCACGGGTGCGGCATTCTGGGTCGCGATCACGGTGTTTGGCGATGGACCATGTGGTTGGCTAGCTGGACGAAACAGGAATTTTTGAAGGGCGGAGCTCCTTTGTGGCAGCTGGTAGGTACATCCGATCTCGGTCTCTTCTTTCCTCTCAAAACTGCTCACAAAACAACCCGCGGTGTTGTCAAAGTACTGAAGTTGTAAAGCATTGTTCAAGCACACATCATCTTCTGTGACATGGATGATCAACCTCTTGCGACGATGCGTGTTCTGATGAGGTTTAACTTGTGATAGAAGGCATATCCGCTGGGAATCAGTCGAGCAAGAAAAGAATGAGGAGAGACCCTGATAATTTTTCAGTCTATGCTCGGATCTAGGCTTCTCAATCTTTGAATATGCAACACCCAGGCAATTGTGAAGCACGTACAGCGTGGCATCTCTCCAACCCCGGAATGGCTCCGGAATTCGGAGCTCGAAGACTGTAGACTTGGCTTGTTGTGGATTCGTCGGTAACGGCCATTCGTGGATGTCAATCTTGATTGACTCTGCTTGTGAGATATAGCCGCGGCATGGGCAGGACTGGCTGTGCCGTGACTCACGGAAACTAAATCTTCGATCCAGGAGCACACTGTCATACTGGCATATGGTCTCAGACGCTAAAGTCATCAAGTGGGTGTAGCGGGCGTGTTTCTGTACCAATTCGGCACGTTTCTGATCCTTGTCATGCTTGGCCTGCTCTTCGATGGCTCGAAGTAGCTGTTGGTGCTCATCAGATTGATCGAAATACCGAACAGAGAAACAGGACCGAGTTCCATAATCACGAAAGACCCCCGGCCCTGGATGTTTTAACCGTCTCTGACGAAGATCGAGATATTCCTCCGCACGACCAAGTCGAATCATTTGTGATTTAAACGGGAGTAGGAGAGAGTAGAAGCAGCCTATGGGTATGCAATGATCATAGTCTTCCAAGTGCGGATGCAGGCGAATCGCTGACTTATCGCAGGCAATCCATAATTCCAACAGTGTGAGCAGCATCATAGACGTGGCTTCTGGATTGTGCAAATATGTACTCAACGCCACTTTGTGATATTCGGAAATCAAACGGCCGAGCTGAGTGCATGTTGCGGCATCCTCAAGATGATTATCTATCCAACTCCCCAGACATGAGTCGACCCAATCTTCAAAACCACAAAGGTTTTGTACAACGTATTCAGGACAGCAAGATTCCAAGCCTATCGGCAGCTTTCTGGCTTCAAAACGCATAAGCTGCGAAGAGGGCTGGAACGATTCGGATGGGTCTTTATCGTCTTTTCGGCCCATGTCCCGTAAAAAACAGTCCAGTCGTGGCATGGAACACTCAGTATCTTCTTTGAATTCTAGCTCTCTGAGAGACTCAAAATCAATTTGACGGTCGTTCTCGCCCACAATACGCTGCCACCCGGTCTGGGTTATATCACCCACTCGCTGAAGAATTGACTGGATCGGAGCAAACCACGCAGGCTCTTCCGTGGAGGAGAGTTTCATCAGTCGACGGACAACCTTAGCCGTCATGAGGTGAAGCATCTCATGAGAGGCTGTTTCGGATGTTTTGTCAAGAATAGAGCCCATGAAATATATCAAAAATGACTTATACAACTGAGAGACTCCTCGGCCATCACATAAGCGGGAAAAAACCAATTGGAGCGCGACGCGAATGAGAAGCCATAAAGCTGACCGTCGCCACGGAGAACGACAATCACGCCACATGACTTCTTCACGACAACGTTTTTGAATTTGTTCGTCTATGCCGTCCTTAGACAGCGGCCGAAGTGTGGCCATGAGAAAGTCGACGATCATTTTCGGATCGGTTGTATCCCTGTCTTCGTCGTGCTGGCGGTTTGCTTTTCGGATCTTCGGCTTTGTACCAGCAACGGGCTGTTGACTCATGCGAGAAATAGTTTGTGCCAACATCGTAAGCAGATCAGGCTCGTTGAAGATACAAGTATCGAAAATCAATGCCGGGCCAGGAAATGTGCGTTGAAGTCGACCTTTCGTTGACATCACCGCTTCATTTACAGGAGAGAGCTCAAAACATTCGACGTGAGTTCTCATGCCCTTATTGCTGATCAAGATAGCAGCATTCTGCTCGTGAACGTAGATTGGTAGGAAACCGCCTGGGTTCTTGTTAACAAGCTTGACTTTGCCATCAAGGGTGAAATGCAGTTGACCTTCTTCTTTCAATTGTCTAAGAACATCACTAAACTGTCCTTCATCTACCTCGCCGTTGAGGCCGTGAACCTGTCGTAGTCGAGTAATCATTGTCAAAGCTTCTCCAATAACTTCAGCCTCGTCTGAAGAGAAGTAAGATTTGAATTGACAAAGGGCATCGATCACTTCATCAGTTAGAAGAACCTCGTGGCCGACACTGTAGTCATCTTCCTGTGGAAGCTTCGGCGGGAGGAAGATATGATGAAATAGATACGATATTCCTTCTATGTCTTGTAAAAAAGTATGCTTCATGTCGGTCCTTATACGGGTAGCAATTTTGTACCGTGGAGTTTTTGTTGAGGGTGATAGGATGCTATTTTGAGTTCAGCAGACTGTCTGGGAAGATTGAACAAGGCCGTGTGTAGAAGATCATATATATTTTACGCGAGTAGCAAAGGGCGGCTTAACTTTGAGTGACGCATTCTGTATCCTCCAGAGCCTTCGATAAAAGTGTTAGTGTAAAGAGTTTCTCGCCTGAACAAAATACTTTATTGAAAATTAATTCAGTTTCGTGAAAGCTGAGACAGCTGGGGCGAGGGGGGGAGCGGTGAGGGGCACATTTGGGTGTATCACAGATTCTTCATACAGCATTGGCGCCCAAATTCTGCCGATTGCAGCACGTAACTGCCGAATGTGAAGATTTGATATCTAGATATGCCAAGATACTCAAGAAAATGACATGTTTTCTGGCATATGCGGACGGAAAGTAGGTAATCCACTGCAGGCTTGGGTGGGACTTGCTGGGGATTACTTGATTTGAGGGCATTCGGGCTAGGATTTTCTTATGAGGCTAAAGTGAGTATTCTCGCTATTTAAGAAAGCACTACTTTTCGTGATATAGACGTGGAGAGAACTCTCCCGCTCATTTCTTCCTTGTCAAAATTTTGAGACAGTAGACTCTCGCAATTTCATTACGCTTTGGGATACCCTCGAGTAGGCGCTATAGTTCCGCAGAGCCCTTGGGCCGCTGTAGATATATGCACAATAGCGCACCCAGTGGCAGGTTCAGTTGTAGTAGAATCTTTATTAAAGAGCCTTTGTAGCAATGGTACTGCGGCTCTACAGACTGCTCTTGAAAAATCATTTTCAGGCTGATTTGAAAGTTTCAGAAAGAATTTCAGCAAATTCTAGTCAGTCCTCAGATTCTTATTGTTATTAGCGAACAGAAAGAAACGGATTCTACACTGCAGGCCTTCACCGCAACTTGGCAGTCATCCCCATTCGGGGAATCTAATATTAAACAGTCTTAATTACTTGATCAAGGTCGGATCGACAGTTCGTTGGGCAAGCATGAAAATCGCCATTTGAGAAATATTGGTTGAAAGTCATTCGCGTCTTACATACTGGCTATCATCAAGGCCTGAATCAGAGATAAGTGAGAGGTGCAGGGAGTTAACTCACACTAATGTTCATCATCAAATACTCACCCTGCCAAAACCGACAGAATAATCAAAGGTGATTGGTCATATTTTATTACCCATCATTTGTGAAATTGCCATCAACAATAGATTGTTGAGCTAGGAGGTTTGCACCGAATGTTCCTGACTTTCTCAGTTCAAATTAAAACAAAATTCGTACAGATGTAAGATTCATTCCTGTGGCAAACAGCCACTTGAACTAACCACTTATCTTGGTTAGATAAATCCAGACGCGGCTCGATAGTTCTTCTCTTAGATGAAAAATGTGACGCCTCGAAAAAAGACCCCGTCAAGAGAACACTTCGGCATCATGTGTACGCAGATGAGAAGGTGGCGGAATGATAGAGCCAAAGAGGTAATTACAACACTCGCACAAAGACTTCGTCATGTTACGCCCAGTGGATAGAAAACAGACATCCGAAGTTTTGCTAAGCTTGTGTGAAGGATAGGTTGCCATTCGTCTCTTATAGAGCTCCTCACAGATGCGTACGTGATGCCAGACTCTACAAAGCTAGCGATCAGAAAAAAGCCGTCCAGTCGAGAACTTTACCGATTCGTATAGAAAAGACCACATCATCTTCACAAGGAATATTAGACTTGACTCAATTTTTGCGGGCAGTGCCCTTGATAATCAGTCACCAGGTTTCAGAAGCTAGGAAAGGCTAGAATTGTTCTATCACCTTCCCATCGCCCATGAATCGACAGACGGCGATCCCTTCCTATCACTTACAGTAACATTGCTGAAAACGTCTCCGTACTGCAGTGACCCGGAATAATGCCTTTCTGCCCTTCCCCAACATCGAAATGGTAACCATATGTTTCAAATGATCTCAGGTCGAAACGATGGGCCATGACGTAATTGCGGTTCAAGCAGCAGATGTATACTTGGTTCAATTGTATGAACCCGGGAGTGAGCGCATCCGTAAGTACAGTATGAGTAGATATAACCACTGTCATGCCCTCGGGGCCCTGTTCCAGATAGCTTGGTTGCTTCAACAGTCAACTCCATCATCCCCTGTCAGCGCTCGGTTACTGACTGCAGGCATATGTTTTGAAAGGTAAGCCAACTGTTACCCTTGTCGGAGCCAAGAACCACACCACCTCATACAGTTAATTCCTAGCTTTATCTCTGTTCAAGAATTTTCCTTACCTGGTGGACCTGACAGCGCTCGAGTTCGGCCATGATTCGCATACTGGCTCTGATGGAATGGTCATGCCCCGATCGATCGGACAAATAATGATAATGGACATACATGTAAGTTTTTCCGCTCCCCGTGGGCATCTTATCACCTCAGCATTGAACTTGAACAGTATTGACGTGCTGTGATATAGATCTTACCACAGCTATTATATTTGTCTTCATACTCAAATCAAACATTACAAGTTGGTAGCTGCGGGGCCGAATGTTGTCCATGTTACCGAAAATTGCATCTAAAGCACAATTGAGACTGAAGACCGGCGTGCTTGATTCCTTGCTTCTTTTTATATTGGAAGAGAATAAACACAACCGAACGTTGTAACGACACATTGGTGCCAAATTCTTGTGCTATGCAAAGGCTATTGAACCAATTATACCGTGCGACAGGGATCCAAGACAGCCTGTCAAATGTACGGTTCTCCCCATCGGCGCCTCTTCGAACCATCCCAAAATCCTGTTGTTCCTGGCGTTCTTCTTTCTTAATTATAATGTGTACTATTTCAGAGAATCGTGCGTCGTTTGCGTCAGGAATCTCCTCCAGTCCCATTAGATATATACTAGTCGGATGATGGGGATGATCCGCCCCCACACCAATTTTTTCCAATATTGCGCCCCGCGAGGTATGCTGCGGAGCTGATAATGTGAATGAGGTACTGAGCTCACCGTAAACTATATCCTGTAATCCAACTGTTTGATGGTTCTTGGCGGCCTCCCACGTCAACGACCTCCCCGCGTTGGTGGCCTCCCGCGTTGGTGGCCTCCCGCGTTGGTGGCCTCCCGCGTTGGTGGCCTCCCGCGTTGGTGGCCTCCCGCGTTGGTGGCCTTCCGCGTTGGTGGCCTTCCGCGTTGGTGGCCTTCCGCGTTGGTGGCCTTCCGCGTTGGTGGCCTGCATATTCATATTCTCGACATAGATCCTGGCCTGCTCTTATCTCCTATGTGTAGCATGATGCTAAACGCTTATTGGCATTCAACTCCTGCATTCCTCACTGTCACACATCACTTACCCATCTTTTCCTACAACTACCAATCCGGTTTTCCTATGGATATTGACTAATATTAATGGCCATATCGAGATCGGATCGGCGGTTCGTTCATCAGGCATGGAGGTGAGTTCTGTGAGGAATTGATGAGCAGCCTTGAGTTTTCCGGCTTTTGCCGACCCTCAATCCTCAAATTGAGAGTCAACCACGACCAAACAGATGAATGCTGAACATTTTTCTTCATCCAGAATACAGCGCGAGGCAATTCTGCACGCTCTTTTAGGGTTTCGTTTGTCTTGTGAGATCGAGTATTGTAATGCAATTCGTGAGTCTTTACGGTAGCAGCGGCCAAAAGCGTCGCAACAGGCGACATGTCTTCACAAACTCTGAGTCCATCCCGTGGCGAGCGGCCACTTGAGCCAGCTTGTCGTCTTTGCTTGCATTTATGACTTCAGACACGGCTCGATGCTTTTTCTTTTGGCTGAACAACGCCGCGGCTCGAAAAAAGCCCCATCGCAGCGAGAACTTCGCGATCATATACACGTAGACGGGTAGGTGGCGGAGTGATGAAGAGTGAGGTAAACTTCGCACAAAAACCCCGTCATATCGTGCCCGGTGGATTGAAAACAAAACATCCGAGCTTTCACTGAGCTTGTGCAAGGGAGAGGTTGCCATTCGCCTCTCTTGAAGCTCCTCGCGGATGCGCGCACGATGCCATGATCGTGAAAGCTGACGATCGAGAGAGAGCCGTCGTATCCAGCATTGTACCAATTTATGCAAAAAAGAATCGATCATCCTCAAAGACGCTTTCAATTCGGCTAGAGTTTTGTGATTAGCACCCTTGATAATCAGGCTCGAGAAGATAACATAAAGAAGGCTGGATGTTAAAGATTATACACCGCCTTTCCACCGCCTGCTGAATCGGGAGACAACAATGCCGACCTATCACATAGCAATGGTTCACATATCCCTGCACTACGGTGGCTCGAAATGGTGCCTTTTTCTGCTCCCCGTCCCCATCCCACCTGCACCTCACTGAAATGGTAATTGACCGACCCTTTGAAATTCTGGAAATGCTTCGGGTCGTTAGGAGAGCCCGATACCTGCTTGCGGCCTGATTAGAGGGAAGGATTGGGCAGAAGACCGACAAGCTCACCACGCCAATCCACAACAAAGGTCAGTAGAAGGAATAAATTTTATATAAAGTAGGTGCCAGCGGTCTTGCTTCCAATATGCCTTCCAGTAGCTAGCTATGTCTTCCCAGAACAAGAAAAGCACCGACAGTCCGAAAGCTGGTAGCCAGCAACCAAGCGTGATTGGGTTGTACGGCATACCTGGCTCGGGGAAAACCTTCATTTTGAATCATCTCAGACAAAATCTCGATCGTTCTTTCTTCACTTTCTACGAAGGGAGTGAGGTGATCTCCAGTGTGACGTCTGGTGGACTCGAAGCTTTTCAATATCTTGATGAGCATGAAAAGAATGAGAGGCGTCGAGAAGCCATTCTTCGAATACGCCGTGAATGTGTGAATAACTCCAAGATCGCCTTCGTGACCGGCCATTTCATGTTTTGGAAGGGTGACGAAGACACCGGCCAGGTGGCCTGTACGGAAAGTGACCTTGACACTTACACCCATATTTTGTACCTGGATACAGCCGTGGAGACAATCATCAACCGTCGGCAGGAGGATGAGAAGAGATTTCGGCCGATCGAATCTTTTGATCATCTGTCGAGATGGCAGGAATATGAGCGGAACCAGCTGCGCCGCTCGTGCTATCATCGCGGGATCCTATTCATCAATCTATCAAAGCATCTATCTGCTGCAGATAAGATTGTGGGACTCGTGAATTCCTTTCATCTGCGCACGGAAGAACATAACCGCTCATGTGCTTTGGGGGCCTTGGATCAATATATCTCGCACCAGCTTGAACGGCCAGAGACCGTACTTGTCCTAGATGCTGATAAAACCATTGCTGCAGCCGATGGCGGCGCGATGTTTTGGGAGCAGTTGAATGCTTTCGAGGCAAGGTCTACTAAGAAAAATCCTCTCTACGATATTTTCAGTGGACCTCTCGGCTATTCTTGGTCGTCGTTTGAACAAGCTACGTTATTAAACGAAGAGGCAGTCGACGATACTCGATTTGAAGAAGTCTGCCGACAAGTGGCATCCCGCATTACTCTTCATGCCGAGTTCAGTTCCCTTCTTGCGATGCTTCGAGTTCATCGGCACGTGTGCGCAATCGTCGTTACCTGTGGAATCGGACGCATTTGGGAGCTCGTGCTCCAGAAAGAAAATCTGTCGAAGCTAGTCCACGTATTTGGTGGAGGGCGGATTGGGAGCGGATTGGTTGTCACACCGGGTCTTAAGAAAGATCTTGTTCTGCGGCTTCGACAGTCTTACAACGCTTACACGTGGTCTTTCGGTGATAGCGTTGTCGACTTACCGATGATGCAAGAGGCAGATGAAGCCATTGTTGTGACGGGAGAACAGACAACCAGGAGCACGTCCATGGACAAGAGGCTTGAAGAGCTGGTTGGTGTCAATGGGTTCCAGCCTTGCCAGGTTACCCTGCCGCATCACGCTCCTCCTCGCGTTCTCACAAAACCACTTCCTGTCACGAATTTGACGGATACGAGCGTGATTCAATCCATTTTCACACGACACAATCGTCTTCGACGCATTGATATATCCCACGCAACAGAGAAAGCCACTGCCAGGCTTCTCATGACTCCCATGCGAGACTCGACTATCTCTGGTCCACGATTGCGAGACGCACACGAGGAGGTTGGTCGATACCTAGCCGTGGAGTATCTGACGGCTGTTGTTGGCCTAGAATCTTACCCCCTTCAACACGTCCAAGGTCATATCACCAACGGCTATCGCCTGTTCCGTGAGACAGAAACATTGATAGTCGCATTGATGCGTGGCGGCGAGCCAATGGCGCTGGGAATCAGTCAAGCATTTCCGAGTGCAATGTTTCTGCACGCACGGAAATTGCAAGACATCTGCGACAAGTCATTGGAGGGCATGGTCACTGTGATACTCGTAGATTCCGTGATTAATACGGGCAATACAATCCTCGAATTCGTCCGTCATATCCGCACTTTGCATGCCTCCATTCGTATCGTGGTCGCCGCAGGGGTGATCCAAGCAAGTTTGCTCCAGCGCAGCAGGATAGCGCAACAACTAGTTGCGTTCGAACAACTTACCTTTGTCGCTTTACGCATTTCCGAAAACAGCTACTCCGGGAAAGGTCCCACAGACACTGGGGCAAGATTATTCTGTACTGTGTCCCGGGAATGAGACTCCAGGGGCTAAATGATTTCTTTCCGAATCTGAGCCGAATGTCATTTTCATGCTTTAGTCAATCACTGCTTTCCAAATTAGGTTATACAAAATCTACCTTATGGAAAGCTCACACTTATTTCTTGGGTTCTGTCTTTTATCAGCTGTCTGTCCGTACGGGCTGATAAGTTAGAGAGCCCTATGAATTCGTCCAAAATGGAACCATAAATGATGACCCCAATATCAGTAACCATCGATTTAGGGGAAACAAGTTAGCGAGATTTTTGCCACCTATAGTTACCGCAAACCACCATATCTCTATGATTCACCTTGATGTAGGTCCCCGACTATTCAGAGGCTTCATATGACAGGGTCTACATATGAAGATGCAGTCGAGTGAACTATGATTGCGAGGCCCGGACTATGAGCTGGCTTGATCCTGCCAAGCCTGTCGGGAGCGCCTGTGATACACGTAATGAATCTCTCCATACTGTCGAAGGCAGACCTTCCAGGTGTCGCTAATATCTGCGCTTTGAGGAAGCTTCTTGTGGGAATCTCATTCGCCATGCCTGTGAGTGTTTTCTTATCATTCGGGCATTACACCAAAGCTCACCGTACCGCCCTGTTGACCCACACCTCTATCCACAATTGTAGCAGATTCCATGAGCACCAGTAGATCGACCAAGGAGTGAATGATTTGGTGACAGCTCTACGACCTTGGCAAGGTTTTAGAGGGACAATTTGTCATCAGCCTGCGTCGTCATGTCGTTATCAATAATACGGTCGTATGTTGGGGCGGTCCCACTACGGGAGCTTACAATACGGTCGGTCTCTTTGACCCTCACCAAAACACTGGTGCACGCCGCTGTTTCACAACAAATTGTTCCCCGGCGCACCGCAAGAATACTAAATCGGGTCGTTCTTCATATTTCTTCATCTAAGATGGCTTCGAGTAAACTTTTATCAAGCTCGCAGGTCCAAAAGTTTAATCACAGTGGTTTTCCTCAAGCTACCTAATCGAATCATACTGAGCTCTAGCGAGTAAGCACGCCCAGGCAGAATAAGAGACATGTCGCAGGGTCATGCATTACTATTGCACGTCGATCTTTGGTTGACCCTCAAATATTCGCGGCACTCCGAGGCTCGTAACAAATAAACACCGCGCCTTTGGAAGGTGGAAAGTAAACGTAATGCGGGACGCTCTAAACCAGAGAGAAATCGGACTTGCGATGTCTGTATGCATGTGGCGTGCCTCTTTCTGAGTGTCGTTGAGCACGAAGATAACTATCGAAGAAAGTCGAAGTTTCCTTTGCACTGGTGTTCTGGTCTGTGCCTATTTGTTCCTGAGGGCTGCCATTCTCGGCCCGGACGACATGTATACCGATCGGATGTGGAGCGTGTGGAGTATTCATATAGATAGACTGATGTGATTAGCCACATTCCGAGAGCCTCAGATGCCCAGCTCACCTTGCTAGCATTGACGATAGACCTGGTCGAGTGTTGGAGCAACGACCAGCCTTACAACCTTCACACAGCTGGTTGTCATGGGGTCCTTTGCTAGGACCAGAGAATACCAGAGACTGTACCTCGATTCCGCTCCATTTTTTCAGCCTGTAGGTCACTCTTTCCACATAACTTTCGCGGTCCAAGGTCAACTTCCCAATAGTTTTGCAGTATCTGCATCGTTTTTGATATACCCGTGCGTTATATTGCTGCTCAGGGTACAACCGAATGGTGATCGCAACTTTCTTGCTCGACCAACCGCGCGAGTGACATGCCTTGCCCGGGCAATCAAACCAGCCCATGATGTTAGTGTCTTTTTCGACGACGCGGTTCATCTCGTCGTCGATGTCCAGGAGTTTCATTTGAAGTCCTTCCTCATTGAGGATTTGTAGAACGTCTTGGTGGAGGCTTGGGTGAAGCGACCACAGTTTTGCGGCTCTGCGTCTTTTGCGTGTCATCTCAAATGTTTGATGTCAGTCGTGGGAATCCGTCAATTTTATCGATAGAGGATGCACTTAGCGCAGAGCCGTGGTCTTGAGATGATCTTCAGAGGTAGATATGCTTTTTTATGAAAGGTCTACCTCGCTTCATACTAAAAACAGCAGTCTCTAGCAAACATACCTTCATGCAGTAGCGCAACCTAATTAGTCGATGTGTATTGGCAAATCTTGGCTAAGATAAGGATTATGGGTCTTGGCGGATGTACCTCGTAACTAGTTAGTTAGTTAACTAACGTACTTACCGCTTGATCGGGTCACCCGGTTGAGCGGGTCACCCAAAACACCATACAAAATGGGATATTTCGCCACTTCAAATTTCAACGCTTAAGGCTGATTATAAGATCTTGCGATACCCCAATATTAAATATATCCTACTAGTTATTTTTAGGTGCCCCACAAACAATTGACGGTTTGATTTTATGGATATATATTTCAACATCACTCGATCGGATCGTATTTTTGGTAATACAGGTAAATAATCAATTTTTGAACATGGAAACCGTACTATGCTAATTTTTATGATAGTAGATCATAGCATACTTAGAATCAGGCAAAATGATATTCTCGTTGCTGATATATGATGACTTAAAAAATCGCGTTTAGTATGGTGCTTTGGGGTGACCCGGTCAAGCGGGAATTACGTTAGTTAGTTATGGGTCAACTTGGATCAGTCAGCAGCCTGAGATAGGACAATGTGACCAGGCAAGATAATTGTGCTACGACGGTGTGTGGAAATCACGTGATTCGTCATATCTTCGGCTATGATAAGCAAGTAACGTGATGTGAGCGGATCATACCGAAACATATGAACCGATCATAGCCCGAGCAGTGTGTTCCGAGAATGAATTGATTCTCTCAATCCATTGAAAAGCGCAGATGAAGTCACTACCCTCCTTCTCTCAATATCTCTAGACTTCTTGGACGTGCACAATCGATTTCGATTTCTCTTACTTGTTGCCCGTACTTTTAGTTCACGACCCATAAGCGGTGGCGATGCTGCGGGAGTAATAACTTTTGTAGTAACATGTGTGAATGAATCAGACAAATTGCATATTGTTACGGGGGTAATTCTATGAGCAGTGGGCACTTCACAGTTCAGCTTTTAGACAATCTAGCCTTTAGCTAGGAGACTTGCTTGGTGATAGAAGTTGGTATTTATCCTCTTGACGAGCACCTCGAGCACGTCCTGCAAGAACCTCAACAAAATCAAACCCGCAGTAAGGCTCTACGAAGCGACTGCACGATTAAGAGAGACTCTTGGGGTTCGCAGATGGAATGAGGGAAGTAAAGTCCGTGGACGTTTTAACCCTCAGTAATTGGTTGGCACCGCATAACGACAGTGTTCTGATACTATTCATAGTGATAGAAAAAGAAAATTGCCGTGTGGGGCTAATGAAGGATCAGAGCGCTGAGCTCGAGCACTGATCGTACTGTAATGCATGTTGAAGATAATACTATGAGCCACATAAGTCCATCGCATCATTGCAATGAGATTAACACATTGCGTGGATATGACGATATAAAGGTCTACAAGACTCTCAAATAGATGTAGTCCGGAGCGTATATGAAGGGTGTAGGCTCCGAGACTTAGGGTTCACCCGCGTAATTATAAGTGATCGACGTACTACCCCGTTATCCAGCTATCGGGAGGGATGTCAAACAGCCATACAGCCATGAAAATCAATGAGTCAGGGTCGGCCAGTTTCGACTCGAGTAAATGGTCTACAGGCGCCGGATCACCATCTCGTGCGACGTACGAGAGCGCCATTCGTCCATTATCATCTGTCACATCATGATCAACGCCCAGGGAAGAATCCGGGGCGTTAATAGTAATGATATGTTCACGTGTAGGAGCGATAATCAGTAGTGAGCTACACCTGGACGGCGGTAAGATTCCAGCTCTATGTGAGAGCCAATGATGCAATGTTGCTTTTTAACCGAAGGTTGCAGCCCAAAACATATCGCGTTATGAAAAATGTACATGCCGACAGAAGACAACTGTCTTCGAATGCGAGCCTCATTGTCAAAGACACCTTGATAGACAGTTTCAGGTGGATAAAACACTCTTCCCGCCATCTTCTGTAAGCCTGCCTCGCACCTTGATAGTCATATAGCCGGAGCCTAGTCTGACCATTTATTGCTCAGCCTCTTTGGATACGATACTCAGCATGGCCCCCGGCGAAAAGAGCAGAGCCTCGCCCACTTTAAGGTTGACGATCCGGTGAAAGATAGAGAGCCTTGTTGGAATATCGAGGAGTGCCTGCTCATCTTTTGCCTGACTGTCTTTCGCTGCATGTAGATTCAAGGCTGCCGCAGCCACGTGAGATTGTAAAGCACGAACCCATGCAGGCGATGAGAATCGATGGACAATAGCGACAGAGCATAGATCGAGAAGATCGCTGGAGATGGTTGGCTCCTGAGTTGAAACAAAGATGCGAGCGCCGAGGTGACGTTGTAATCGAACAGTGGAGAGAAGGGTGTCTGTAAAATTCTGGGCTTCGACAGAGTCCTTCATATACTACGTGACGAATAAGTAGGACGAAGACACCTTGGGAGTATCATTCATACCTTGTGGGCCTCATCAAGGGCGACGATCCTACCAATCCTGGTATCTTGTTCCATAAAGATTCCAAAACAAACGTTAAAAAGGCTGCAGGCGGTATCAGGGGAAACACAAGGACAGGAGAGATCAACGATTGTCAACTGCGAGGCCTGAATCACATGTAAGCTCAAGTGGCCCAGAGGTGCGTTTTGAATACAGTACCTTGGGGACCCAGATTGAACCTCCATCATGGGGTTTTGCCTTCGTTCCCTTAACTTTATAATCCGTCCTTGCTTGGTTGGGGGGCATGAAGCTCTCGAGAATATCCAACCTTTGCTTCAAGGGCTCCATTTGACTAGTCAGCAGCCCAGAACCGAGTACTCTGCTCTTGAAATCTTGATAATTGAACAGACATCCTGTGCTTTGTTGTAGCAGACGCATCTCTCGCAGTATCCGTTGAACAGTCTGCAAGT